CTCTCTTTCTGTCCTAGCATAGTGCCTTACATGTAGTCAGTGTTTGATAACAACTTAATGAACGAATAAAGCCAATAGTGCTGACCTCTGGTATATAGAACATCACATCTTCTTGGAGCTCAGCCACTACGAACTCCAAAATTATTCACCCTGTGCTTCCATGCTTATTCACTATGGGTTATCTGGAAACTACTTAGTTTCCTTCTTTCACCAACTTCAAAGCCTCCATCTTTACTACTGCCATTCTAGTTCTGGCCATTATAGCATGCTCTAACAGAGCCCTCTGTGATCAACACTTGGGAAGCTTCCTTTCCCTCCGTACCATTTCCATTCACTGAATCTCACTCAACTTTAGTGGCTTGGAAAGGACCTTAGAGGTCATCTAATCCTACCATTACCTAAACTAGAATCCCGTTTACTGACAAGTGGGTGCTTATCAGAATTTTTCCCCTCATATCAAGCTGTCATCAACTGCTCTGTAATTTCAAACTATTCTTCTCCTATATACCAGGAAAAACTGAAGGAGAATAAGAATAAATTATAATTTTCAGAGTATACATTCCTGACTAAGTCTGGTTTCTCCTCCATTCTAGTCTCTCCACTGCTACCACCATAACCATCCCCTACACTTTACATATCAACTTTTCTCTTCTGCATCACTTATCTTCATTAGACAATAGTGAGGAAAACAATACCTTTGTACTTCAGTTTCTTGCCTAAGAAACTTGGCAATACTTTCTAAATTCCTTCAGTCATTATCATTTATATTCACATTAATCACTAGAAGGGTAAATAGTCATAAGTTTTAACAAGTCTTGGGAGGTTCTTTGTTATGTCTGGTTACATTCTTCAAGAAGACACAGCCTTCTTATGATTATCACATAAACAAATAGCTGCCACAGTACAGCTGACCTGGGAGTCACTACTACCCTTCTCTTCTTCTTCTGATGCTTATGGGCTCCTCCCTCACCTGACAGCACCTGTGAGTCTACTTTATCATTCCCTGGAGCACATTCTTTCTCTGAATATCCTGCTCTTTCTTCTTTAGGACAAGTTCCAAATTGGTTTTTAATTCCAAGTGTACAGTGGTCCTTTTTTTCTTCTTCCTTTTCAGTGTTATCCTCTCTTTTAATCTCCTGAAATGAGCCAGTTTTCTCCTTTGCCATTTAGACTCCTTTTCCCCCATGAAGCCTTGCTTCTGTTTTGTTTTGCCTTTTTTGGCTACATTATCATCTCTTTTAACCTAGAATGTAAAAACATTCCTCAAGACCCTTTACCATCCCTTGCAAGAGGGAAATCAACCTACATTTGAAACATAAATAACAGTCACTTAGCTATGGTAAAAATAGAAACCTTGCATATTTAATGTAAGTCACAGCCAAATTATTGGTGCCCTCCATCTTGGTAGAGATACTCAGTCTTGTTTTTCACATTCCTTGTGAATGCTTACTCCTAGCCTCCTAAGCACTTCTTTAAGACTTTTACAACTTTTCGTCACCTTTTAACAGCATTGTTATTCACATTCACATTTCCTTTCCTTTCTCTCAACCATTTACCTGACAGTCATACCCAGCTTCCTTTCTCTTTTCTCCCTAATCTTTTGTCTAACCAGTTTGTCTTACTTATCACTTTATTTTACTTACCTTTTTGTACCAACTACCTTGTCCTACCCCTTCTCCTTGAGTCCTTCTTTTCTAGTCCTTTCTCCGCAATTCTTGATCATGATCAGTGTTTTAAAATAAATCATCTATTTCCTGATTCATTCTAGATTTTTTGCCAAAAATGGATAGCAGACTCAATGGTTGAAGGTTCACAGAATCTACTTTCTTTTTCTTTTCAAAAAGTGTGAAAATACTTGCTTATCACCAGTCCTATAATACTTCTCCTAAATCCTCAAAGGCCATCAACAATTTAGCTATTGTATCTTGTACTTTTTTCATTGCCTTGGCATGTTTGAGGTGGCAGAATGACATGTAAGTGGAAATGTCCTTCAGGCAATTAGAAATTTGGAACTAAATCTTGGAAATGAAATCATATGCCACAATTTTTCAGCCATTCCCCAGTTGATAGAAACCCACTTTGTTTCTGTTGGTCTGCTACAACAAAAAGTGCTGTTACAAATGTTTTTGTACACTTGGGTCCTTTCTCCTATGTCTTTGACCTCTTTGATGGGTATGCTGACTACTGGGTATCATTGAATCAAAAAGTACATATAGATAAGTGACATTTTGTGTATAGTTCCAAGTTGTTTCCCAGAATGATTGTATCACTTCATAGCTCTACCAGCAGAGCATATGTATGTCTGACTTTTGTGTGTCAGTTCCTCCAACAATTGCCATTTTTTTCATCATCTTTGCCAATTGTATGTGTATGAAGTGAAACCTCAAAATTGTTTTCATTTGCATTTCTCTGTCATTAGTGATTTGGAATATTTTGGGGGTATGATTGGTATTAGCTTAAATTTCTTCATTTGAATGCAGCCAATTCATATTCTTTGACTTTTGGGGGAATGGCTCTTGTTCTTATGTATTTTCAGTTCTCTACATGTGCTGGATATCAGACATATATCAGAGAAATTACAATTGTTTTTTCCCAGTTAACTATTTCTAGGAGGGAGTTTCTATGCCAGGGATTCCTCACACCTATGAAATGACATGGCTCGACCCCTAAAAATATTAACTTACTACCAAACAGAAGGTAAGAGTAAAGGAAAGATCTTCTTATGCTTCTCTGAGGTAATTATTTTAAGAAGAAGATCTCTGAAGAAAAACTGTTGAGTGGGAGAAAAATCTTTGCATCAAAATATATATGTGGGGGCAGCTAGGTGGCACAGTGGATAGAGCACTGGCCTTGGAGTCAGGAGGATTTGAGTTCAAATCCGGTCTCAGACCAGACACTTGACATTTACTAGCTGTGTGACCCTGGGCAAGTCACTTAACCCCAGTCGCCTCACGAAACGTGTGTGTTTGTGTGTGTGTGTGTGTGTGTGTGTGTGTGTATTTGTGGGGCAGTTGGGGTTAAGTGACTTGCCCAGAGTCACACAGCTAGTGTTATGTGTCAGAGGCCAGATTTGAACTCAGGTCCTTCTGAGTTCAAGCTGGTACTCTATCCACTGTGCCACCTAGCTGCCCTTTTCTTTCTTTCTTTCTTTTTCTTTTTTTTTTTGGTGAGGCAATTGGGGTTAAGTGACTTGCCCAGAGTCACACAGCTAGTAAGTGTTAGCGTCAAAATATTTCTGATAAAAGTGCAATGTCCACAATATAATAACACAAACGTATAAGACCAAGAGCCAGTGGTCAAAGAATATGAACAGTTTTCAAAAGATAAATTGCAAGCTATCAGAAATCATGAAAAATTGCTCTAACATTTTAACAAGAGAAATACAAATTAAAACAACTCTGAGGTTTTGCTCTTATACCAGTCCAGTTGGCAAATAGGATTAAAAGCAGAAATAGTAAGTGTTGCAGGGGCCATGGAAAGACATGTACAATAACACATTGCTGGTCTCTTTGGGAAAATAATTTGTAATTATGTGAGAAAAGTCACTACACTGTTTATACTTTTCAACCCAGCATTTAATAGATGCTTGTTGAAATGTTTGTTGTTCTCATTACTGGGCATATATCACAAGGAGGTCAAATGCACAAAGGCCCCATATAGTACCCACAGTCATAGCAGTACTTTTTAGTGCAGCTCAAAACTAGAAATAACATGAGTACCCTTTGATTTTAGGTGAGTGAATAAATGTATATTACATACCACATATTACATACCACACACATATACTATAAGAAGCAACTAACATGAAGAAGTTAGAAAGCCCAGAAAGACCTTTATAGACTGATGCAGAGTGAAGTTAGCAGAACCAAGAGAATAGCACATAAAGGCTACAGTGATATACACGAAAAAGCACCAGAACTCTGTATAAATGTATTGCCCATTATTACCCTCAGAGGACAAATGAGGAACTCTTTCCCTCTATATACAAGCAAGGTACAGGACAAGGGAAGTGGAATGTTGGATATTCTGTCAGACACAGCTGATATGCTGTTTGATTTTACTTTTTTTTTTTCTTCATAAGAAGGAAGGATTCAGTAGACATGGGAGCTGTGTCATGAAATGATTGATATAAAAAAAGAGATATGAATAAAACTTTTTTTAAGTGGAAAGATTTGCTATCTCCCAGGACCCTATTACTTTTATGTTATTTCTCCAGTGCTTATTTTGTAGCTTGCCATTAACTTTTCTTCCTTCTACTCTCCCTGTAGAGTTTACCTATCCGGTGCCTGTCAGTTCCAAACACTTCCCTTTTGTCTAAAACTGACGACGTTTGTTGTTTTTGAGAAAACTATGTTTTGTTAAATCTGTTTTATTACTACAAAGATCTCAAAATAAAAGGAGTCATTCTCTGGGCTTAGCTGTGTTAACTTTAAGATTCTGTTCACAGAATTCTTTCCTTGTCAAAAATAGATCGTTCATTGTTTATCCTTCATTCTCGAAGAGGATCATGACATCAGGAAGGTGATGTCTTGACTTGCAAGTGAATTGGATTTGAGTGAGGGAGAGCTGTGCAAAGTCACCAGCCTCACTCTCTCCTCCACAGCCATCTAGGTCTAGTGGCAAGATATAGATCAGGATGACTTGGAGATGGCCCTGGGTGCAGTGGGAGACCTTGGCCTTTTTAAGCTAAGGTCTTTCCCAGGTCTCAGTTTGACTGAGGCAATGCCCATTGACTGATTAAGGCTAGGTAAGAAATAAGGCAAGGAATGGCTTCTTTACCTAGTCAAAAAAATAAAATTAAAAAATCAACCTGGGAGGGGAAGACCCTCAGGGTTTCTGGTCAAAACAGAAACAATTGCTATTTACACTCACTCTGAGCCATCAAAAATAACCTTTAGTTAAAGTGGTGAAGTGTAGTAAATGATCTGTGGTTATGTAAACTTAGATTCAAAGTACAATAAATGATACTTTTTGTTCTCATCTTTCTTTTCCTTCTCCAGAGTGGCATTCTTTCCTCTTCACATTGGTGACCATGTCTTTATTGAAGAGGACTGTGTGGTCAATGCAGCCCAAATCGGTTCATATGTCCACATAGGCAAGAACTGTGTGATTGTAAGTGTTGTGGCATCAGCTTGCCTAAGCAGTCTTCCTTCTCTAACCTCAACCTCCAATTTCCCAATCTCCCTTTTTCTTTCATTTGTTCTTTCTTCTTTGTTTTAAAGCTCTGTGGCTCCAGTTCCTTCACATTCAGGCTAGTTTTGGTATGGGGGATATAGCTGTAGGATCTCCAGGAGCATAAGTTCTCACTTGAATTAGATCATCCAGATGCTTTACAGATCAGGAGCTCCATTCAGATTGGGATTTGTAATCTTCCTGGAGGCAGATTAGAACTCTCTTAACATGTAGTGAAAAGGTTCTCCAAATTCTACACTTGTCCCTTACTCTAAACCTAGGGTTTATGAGTGCTGAAGGGGTCCATCAATGAGTCATTAACTTGGATGGGGAAAAAAAATGACATCTTTATTTTTGCTGACCTCTAATTGAAATTTAGCATTTCCTCCCATTATTTAAAAATATTATTTTGAGAAAGGATGTCTGGGTTTCACCAGACTGCCAAAGAAGTTTGTGACAAAAAGAAGTTAAAGAACTCCTGTTCTGGAGTGATGAAAACCCAAGACCCTGAAAGTGCCCCCTCCAGAGCCACCCATGTAAATTCAAAAGCACGGTTCAGTCTGTTGGCTTTATTTGTGTGGCTTTTTGTGCCACCATTTGAATAAATAAATCCATGAGGCATTAATTGCTAAGCATTGCCAGTGATCACTTTCTAAGCATTTCAAAATTCTCAAGTGACCTCAGCAGTAAGATTTTCCTGATTTCCTGTATTTGCTTTAAATATTATATCTGCTTCAGTTTGTTCTTTATTCTCTTTTCTATAGGATTCCTTGCATTGAGACAGTGTTAGTTATAGGGAATTCTTTTGGATACTTATTATCTCCAAGCTGTGTTCAGCTTGGTTATGTTGAGAGAAATAGGCTGTCACCATATTGGAAATCCAGAGGAGAGACCTCTCAAGTTGAGAAAAACAGTAATTTGAGTAGTTCAGTTCATTCAAATCAACAATTATTAAGTACCTACTGTCTACTGTGTTCTGTGCTGAGAATACAAAGGTAAAGTAAATTATAGTTTCTGCCCTTAAGAACCTAGAGGTAATTCAGTTTGGTCAAGGTCAGTGCTCTTTATATTGGAGGTAAGTGGATATGTCTGGCTAATTATAGAATTAAAGCCTTGGAGGTATAAGTGTTTTAGAAAATTCATTTGGCAACTTGCCTTTTTCATGATACATACAGGATTCTTCCATGTAAAGGAAACAAAAACAGCAGATCCAACTTGGAACTGAGTATTTAGAATGTTCTTTGGGTAGAATATTAGGTCAAAGTAACTCAGCATTATGCTGAGTGAGTTAATGTTCACACATTTTCAACTGGGGACATTGTGTTTTACCAAGAAGTGTAACCACAGCAGTGGTAAAATGATAGCAGTGTGGGAAAGTAACTAATAGTAACTAATGAAATGTAGGACTTGTATTTCTTCTGTAAATATAATATGTTACAGCTTCAAATAGTAAATAGGAACCTCTTTCTTCCATAATCCTCGAAACAAATAAGTCTCATAAATCTCCTCTGCCCCACCAAATTATACAAGTCAGGACATGACTAACAAAGTAATCACAGATAAAACAGCATAAGTGAAAGATGCTATGATTTGTCAAGAAAGTAGTTAGTCTTTTTGAAAACTTTTAGACTTATTGCTACCCACCTCCAGAGAAAGAACTGATGGCTTCTGAATAGACACTGAAGCATGTTATTTTTCACTTTATTTCCTTCTTTCCTTTTCTTTTTTGTTTGAGTTTTCTTCCATAAAATGATTAATATGGAAATATATTTTACGTGATTGCACTTGTATAACCTTTATCGTATTACTTACTATTTCAGAAAGGGAAGCAGGGAGGGAGAGAAGAATAGAATTTACAACTCAAAACTTTTAAAAACCTGAATGTTAAAAATTGTTCTTACATGTAATTTGGGGGAAAATAAAATATTGTTTTAAAAATATAAATATAAATAAAAATAAAAACTACCCTCAAGTCTGAGAACCTTTTGCTATTTGCACACCTATAGTAGACTCATATAAACAAATCATAAAATCATCATTTACTGGTATGTAGTAAGCATGGAATTAAAACAATTATTGAGTTGGAGACTTGAGCTTAGGCAGCCTGCGACTTTTCTTGGGAATTGCTCCTTATAATTAATGGGAAAGAAATGGAGAATAATAACCACCCAAGAAGTAGATGAGAAAACATTCTCTACCTCCTTCATTTCCTGATCTATTTTCTGTTAACAAAATTTTTGCTTTTAGGGCCGACGCTGTGTATTGAAAGACTGTTGCAAAATTCTAGACAATACAGTATTACCTCCTGAAACTGTAGTCCCACCATTCACCGTCTTCTCAGGCTGTCCAGGTAACTTTGGGTTTTGATTGTATTTGGCTTAATCTTTTTCATATTACTTTGAACCCCTTCACTCCAGTTCTTGAATATTAGCAGGCCAGAAAAACAAACACTCCTAGGTCTTTCACCCAAGATAAGCACCTGTGTAGAGAGAAACCTTATGCAATCATTGATATTTTTTTTAAAGATCTGGAAAGGACCTTCCAGATCATCTTAGAATCATAGAATTTGTAGATGTGAAAAAGTTCTTAGAGATAAACTAGTCCATGCCCTGAATTTATGAATCAGGAAACTGTGACTTGCCTAAGTTCACACAACAATTTGGTAGCATAGTGGAACTAGAACTCAGCTAGCCTGATTCCCATCCCTTTATATGATCCTGCCCTACTTTGAGCTTACTCCAGCCTATGTCTGGAATGGTAGTACATTGACATGGTGTTTTTTGGTAGGGCAGGCACATTCTGTTCCTGCTGGCACCAGGAATGAGAATTTCTGACACAGAGCATGAACTAAAATGAGATACAGGTAACCCAGAAGGAATGTAGCCCTTTATACAGATTTTCATTAGGACTATTTTTTTTTTCAACAGAAGAGGAAAAAAAATAGCAATTCAACTTCCATAGTTCTTTCTTTGGATGTGGATAGCATTTTTCATCACAAGGCCTCTGGAGATGTCTTAGATCCTTGTGTTGCCAGGAGGGGTTAAGTTTATCAATATTAGTCATCACACAACGTGGCTGTTATTGTGTACAACATCCTCTTGGTTCTGCTCACTTCACTCAGCATAAGATCATACAAGTCTTTCCAGGTTTTTCTGAAGTCAGCCTGTTCATCATTTCTTATAGCACAATAGTGTTCCATCACATTCATATACCACAACTTGCTCAGCCATTCCCCAACTGATGGGCATCCTCTCAATTTCCAATTCTTTGCCACCACAAAAAGAGCTGCTATGAATATTTTGTACATGTGGGTCCTTTTCCCATTTGTATGATCTCTTTGGGATATAGCCCTAGAAGTGCTATTGCTGGGTCAAAGGGTATGCACATTTTTATAGCCCTTTGGCCATAGTTCCAAATTGCTCTCCAAAATGGTTGGATCATTTCACAACTCTACCAATAATGCATTAGTGTTCCAATTTTCCCACATCTTCTCCAACATTTATCATTTTCCTGTTTTGTCATGTTCGCTATTCTGATAGGTGTGATGTGGTACCTCAGAGTTGTTTTGATTTGCATTTCTCTGATCAATAGTGATTTAGAGCATTTTTTCATATGACTATAGATGGCTTTAATTTCTTCCTCTAAGAACTGTCTGTTCATATGATTAGGACTATTTTGTTAAGAAATCGCATCTTCTCTTCTCTCACTTAGCTGTAGTGAGCTGACTCTTCAGTAAGATGTTTTAGGGAAACATATTCTTGTTTTACCAGAGTGAATGTGCATAACTCAGATGACCTCCAAGTGATTTCCAGAAGAGGAAGTGTAGGGGAGCAGCTGGAAGTTTAAAATGATGAGTTGCTATTTGAATCTATTTCTGTACACCTCTGCTTGTTCTTTGGATGTGTGCAGCATATTCAGGCATAAAATACATTTGTTTTTAAAAAATTAAGTTTTTATTGATGTATTTTTTTAATGTCACCATATTTTCCCTAGTATCCCTTTCCCTCTGCTTCTAGAAAGCCTTTGCATATAGCAAATAGTATTTTTTCAAGACAAGAAAAAATAGGAAAAATCAGCATAACTGATCAATACATCAAAAAACATCAAATATATATACAATATGTAAAAGTTCTGAGTCTCCCACATCTACAAAGGATGAGGTGGGAGTGTCTTCTCATATCTCTTGTTTCAAGACATGCTTTTTCTCTATATTTTTCCAGTGTTCCCTTTTGAATTTTTTTTTGTGGTTCTTTTAGTTTACACTGTATATATTGTTTTCTTGAATCTTTTTACTTCACTCTGCATGAATTCATTTAAATTTTTCCATGCTTTTCTGTATTCATTACATTTATCATTTTGTATAGCACAGTGATATTCCATTAATGTACCACAATTTGTTTAGCCATTCCCAATTGATGGTCATTTCCTTTGTTTCTAATTCTTTGCTATTAGAAAAAGTACTGCTATAAATATATTGGTATATATAGGGACTTTGTTTTTATCAGTGGACTCTTTGGGGATTAAGCCTAGTAATAGAATCATTGGATCAAAGTATATGGACCTTTTATTCTATTTTGTTTTGTTTTTGTTTTTGGCGAGGCAGTCAGGATTAAATGACTTGCCCAGGCTCACACAGCTGTTAAGTATCAAGTGTCTGAGGCTGGATTTGAACTTCAGGTACTCCTGACTCCAGAGCCAGTGCTGTATCCACTGCATCATCTAGCTGCCCCCTCCTTTTTTTTTGGAAATTTTTTTTATTTTAAACTTAAATACAAAATAAGGGGGAAAAAAAGAGAAACAAACTTAAATACTAAAACTAAAATAATACAAAAAAAGAAAAGAAAAGAAAACATTGCCATGTGCACAGCAGAAGGTGAGTTCAAAATATACAGCAATAAATTTCCATTTCAAGAAAGCCTGTATAATAAATACTATGCATTGTGTTGAGAGCTGTCCATCTTTTCTTTGCTTCCTTGTAAGTTTTCTTTTGTTCTCTGCTGTGCACTTTTTATTATGTTCTTTGTTCCCCCCTTCCTAACCTCCCCCCAGAAGGCTGCAATTAATTGTGGATATATTTATATAGAGATATATGCATATATACACACAAAGATACATACATACCCATACATACATACTTACACACATATATGCTTAGATAATTGATAATCCTAGTCATATATAGACATACACATTCATATGCATCTATGTAAAACCATACCATACTTATTTATCCTCTGTTTCTCTGAGGGTGGATAACCTATTTCTTCATAAGTCCAAGTCTTTCCATATTTTTACAAGTCCACCAACTCATCATTCCTACACTACAGCAATATTCCCACCTTCTGCTATCTAGTTATTTTAAATAGTCCAAAACAACATTGATAAATATGGCTGAAACATAGTATAGTTTCCCTATTTTTCTCTTTTGATTAAATCTATTTTAGCCTTAACTTTGTCCAAGATCATGATTATCACGCCTGCTCCTCTTTCCCTAACAAATTCCACTCCTGATCTTTATATTTGTACTATCTCTTATTTCCTATTCCTTCTGAGTGCTCTACTTCTACTTTATACCTTGCCCTCCTATTACTTAACCTACCCCCCCATTATCCTCCCATTCCAATTAATCTAAACAGCCTTCTTGTACCCCTCCTTTAACCTGTTCCCTCACCCTCCCCTCTAGAGATCCATCCCTCTTTTATCCTCTCCCCCTTTCCTATCCCCTTAGAATTTTATTTCTTTCTGAATTTAGAAGACTTTTATACTCTGCTAGATATATATGTATTGTTCCCTCTTGAACCCATTCCTGATGAAAGTAGGTTTCCAGAACTATCAGCCATCTTCCCTCATCTAATTCCTCTCTGTTGGTTCTTCCCCTTGCACCTCATTTGTATAAGATAATTACTCTTTTTAATTGTTCCTAAATGAGTTTTACTTTTTAAAATCATATTATACTCAGATCTGCCATTTTAGTTTACTTTATTTACATAATTCCAAATTGCTTTCCAAAATGGTTGTACTGAATGATAGCTCCACCAACAATGGACTAGTGTACCTATTTTCCAACATTGACTATTCCCATCTTTTGTCATCTTTGCCAATTTTGCAGGGTGTGAGGTGAAACCTCAGAGTTTTGATTTGTATTTATCATCATTAGTGATTTGGAGCATTCTTTCACATGGTTGTTAATAGTTTGCAGTTCTTTTGAAAACTGTTCACATCCTTTGATCACTTATTTCATGTACATTTCTAATAATTTTGTCTCTATAGTTGATTAGCAAGTTTTTGTTAAAGAATTGTGATCTGGCATGCCCATTTCTATTTACTTGGGATAGTGTTACACCAAAACCCTAGGACTCAGCATGCTATGCTCACTCTTGGAAAAATTCTGTCAGTCATAAATTTGCTTTAAAATCTCTTAGGTGATTTAATACAATTGCCACACTTCATATTAAAATGCTTAAATGTATTCCTACACTTTGGAAAATGTCTTAATTTATCAAAGCCTAAGTGGCATTATATAAAAAATATGAACAATGAATGTAAAACTACAGATTTTCTTTTCCTTTGTAGATAGAAAGTCAAACATTTAGATCCTGATAATGAAATAAAATTGCCTAAAATAATCATTAAAAACCATAAGCTCTGAGCCCATCCTTTACCTTCTCTGTTCTCTTTCCTTAGGACTCTTCTCTGGGGAGCTCCCAGAGTGCACCCAGGAGCTGATGATCGATGTCACCAAGAGCTACTACCAGAAGTTCTTGCCACTGACGCAGGTCTAGTACCCATGTCCCATGCCTCCGATGACTAGAGCTCTAGGAAGGACTTTGGAACCAGGGAGCTTTAAGGGCCTCCAAGACCAGGATCTTGTGTAGTCTCTTCCTCTCACTTTTGGCTTTTTTTTTTTTAATTTCTCAGTCTTTCCAACTCTCATTTTCTCCAGATGGCAAAAGCAAAACCACTGGAGGAATTGTCCAGAGTGTTATATTTAATTGAGATCTATTTATAGTCACTTTATTCCAGGTTTATTACAGAATTATTTTTGTTTGATTCCCTAACTCCTCCATCCCATGGATGAATGGGTCCTGCTGTATCACACCAGGAAAAAATTCTCTTTGAAAAACTTTCCAAGGAAAAAGTTACTTTGCTGTTACATTATATACAACCACAAAGGCAGCCTATCACCTACATGGACACACGTACAATGGATGGCTTTCTTGTTACTGAATAAATGCAGTCAGCTGCTGCATTTGCTCGTAAATCCTGAAAAATCTATAGGTGTTTATGAATTTTCAAAATTCAGACATTTGTTTGTGATCATTGTGAAGCTAAAATTGGGAAACAATAACTCCTTTTCTCCTAAACTATATGGAGCTATATTCAGAATTTGTGGCAAACACGTGGATAGTTAGATGGTGATTAGAGAGAGACTCCCTGACTGCTCTATTTAAGGCCCTTTCACTTGATGTGAGGTAGGATAAAGCTTAGGCCTTAAAGCTGTTTTCTAGTCATAGTGTGGGTGGCCTCAACATCCTAGATTCTGAATCCTTAACACATCTAACCCTGAATCCTATGCCCTACCCAAAGCTCTATTGAGTGGAGATGAAATAGGCCGGTAGTAATTCTTTCTTCCACAGAATAGCCCTGTTGTATTTGGGCAGGAGCCCAAGTCCTGTTTCATTAATGTTTAACATTTGTAAATTATGTTATTCGACTTGGGAGGGGTAACGCATAATTGATACTCCCTACCCCGGATGGTCTAGAGAGCTGGGCTAGCACCCTTATTTGATCCAAACCAAACTGTAAAATACAGACAAGTATTTCTGCCTCTGGGCTTTCTCCCTGACATTTGCATCAGCCAAGTTAGATATAACCACTTGCAAAAGACTAAATGTCATTATTGATGGAGTTTGTTCATAGTACCTGCTATCATTCACACCCCCTCAGTTCTGCCCTGACATCTGGGTCTAGCAGTGTATCACTAGAACCGAGACTAGGGAAGATGGCTTAAAAAAAACGATGCTAAGCTGGCATGACCCCTGGGAGTTTTGAAATTAGTAGCAAAAAGGGCCTGTGCAGCATATCACCTAGGGCTCAGATACTTATTAACCAGTTGTGAATTATACAAACACTGTATTGTGTACTAATAACCCTTCAATGTAAAACTTCTAGCTGGTTTGTTTGTACTTTTATGTACTTAAATTAAAGACCTTTTAAATGGGTCAGGCATTTTGAAGGTGTTGACTCTCCAGATACAGCTTTGTAGATGCTTGAAAAAACATCTTGCTCCTAATTAAGTGCTCCTATTTAGGTAATTTTACTCCTAATTAGTAATTAGGCCAGTAATTCAGGATTCTTCATCTTTTTGGTCTTTTCTGAGGAACAGTAAGGGATTTCCATTTAGAAAGATTGAAACCTGTAACTGCTACCACTTCCTCAAACTGCCACTTAGTGAAATAAAATCATAGCAACATAAAATCTTAAGAGTTTGGAGGGGACTTTAACGTTCATTTAGTCAAGCCTTTTAACATGGTATACAGTATTGCTTCCTGCAGCAAATTAGTGACTCAGCCCTTGCTTGAACACTTCCAATGACAGGAAGCTCACTGTTTTATTAGGTTAACCTATTCCATTTTTTAGCTCTGATTTGTGGACAGATCAAAATAGGTCTGTTTCTTTTCAGATAACAATCCTTCAGATATTCCCCTATATATTATAGCACCCTAAGTAATGTTCTATCTTGTCCACTCTTTAGTTTCTGCTCTGTTTGAAGGTAGTTATCTTCTTCTCTAAGATTTCTCAAGACTGAACAGCTCTAGTTTCCTCAAATGAAATGGTTTCCTATTCTCTCACTAACTTGATTATCCTCTGGAAGAGTTCCAGTTCGTAAAGAGAACTGACTATCACTTCCTTAGATATAATACAGCCAAGACATTATTTAAAAAACACACAGACACAGACACAGACACACACACACAGACACACACACACACACAGACACACACACACACACCCCCAGCTATTTGACACTGTTGACTTTCATAGAGCTTGTAGTCAACTGAAACCAAATGGCATGTGAGCTGTTTACCAACTAGATTTCCCCCAGCTTATCCTTCCTTGCATATTTGTTTTTTTTTAAAACCTAAATGAAGAACTTTACATTTATTTCTATTAAAATTCACCTCATTTTCAGCCCAAAGTTTATTTTTCCAAATTAATTCTGAGCTTGAACTATTTTGATAGAATTCGGAAATGCTGGCCTAGGATGGGGGTGGGGGTAGGGTATAAAATACCACAGGGATGAGAGGATCATGGATTACAAATTGAGAAGGGACCTTAGAGGGCCTTTAAGACAACCCCTTTATTGTACATGTGAGAAAACAGGTCAGAGATCTTAAGTGACTTGTCCAAGGTCACACTAGTAGTAATAGAAATGGGATTTGAACCCCCGTTATCTGGCTGCATAGCTATTGTTTTTTCCACCATACCAGGCTGTTCATATCTTTACCTTTGGGCCTTATCCCTAGCCTGTGAAATCTCAGTACGCTTTCTCTAAAAGGATTGGGGAATTTGGGGAGATCTGAAACAATAGAGAGGAAATTAAGCCTTTTTCATATAGAAAAATCTAAAGTATTTTTGATGCATACATTATTTTATTTTTATACCTGTAAAGGAAAACATGTCACTAGCATTTGCATTTTCATGTGGAAAAAAGTCATCCATGAAACAGTAGGGTTCTGTAGAACACAGTTTGGGAAACACTGGGGCAGACCTTTTCCAATTTTGATTTCATTTTTGTATCAATTATTTCTCAGGTACCTTGGAGCCTCTTGTTTTGTTCTTCTGAAGAATGAGCATTTATAAAAATGTATCTAGCTAACTTCGGGCCAAAAATGATAGCATAGCAAACTAATTAAATTCAAGGCCCTGTTCTCTAATATTAATAATGTCTGCTTCAGAGCCCAAAGAGCTGGGAGAGAAAGTTGACCTGATCCCCTCATGGTTCTCACTGTCTTTGATAGGTTGATCAGAGTGCTTTTGGTATAGAAATAAGTTAGCAAAACAGAAATGAAAAATGCCCATAGTATTATATATCAAGATGATGGATTTCTCTGAAGGTGAAAATCTTTATTCCTCTTACCTTAAGAGAAAGGGCTTAGGACCTTTGAATTTTCAACACTTCTGACAGCTTAGATTTCACTGAGCTATTACAGTGGGTAGAAGCTAGAAAAGAGCAACAAAACCTGCTTGAAATTGTTTCTGTCCTCTTGGAGAAGATAGAAATAAAGAGGAAAAAGCAAACTCTGCAGTAATGGAGGTTAGACAGTTATCTGTTTCCCAAGATATTTAAATTCCATCAGGTAAAATATGTGGTGACCTGAAGATGCGTTTGTAATGTTTATTCACCAAGCATTTCTTCAGCTGAAACTATGCCCAGCACTCTGCCAGATTGCTCTGGTGGACACAAAAGAAATAGAAGATACACTTTCTTCCCAGAGAGAAGTTATGATATAGTTGGGGAAGGAACACCCACTGTCATAAGTACAAATAGTAATACAAGATGGTGAATGATAAATGCTAAAATGAGTATGTATAGGTAGTAAGTCTTAGTATTCAGATGAGGGAGAGATCAGTGGGTGAGGTAGTACGTGAGGCGGGGCATTGAGAGACAGGATTTAAATAGGAAAGGATGAGCAAAGAAACAGGTGAGAATAAGTAGGACCTATTTGTCATCTCAGGGAGGAGACTAGCCCAAGTGGAGTAGATAGTTCAGCATGGAAAGTAGTAGAAGTTAAGATTGGGACTAGATTGTAGAGGGTTTTGACTGTTGGGCTAGAGTTAAGACTTTGTCCTTTGGGCATCAGGGTCATCAAAGGCTTTTTGGACATGACTTTTTAAGCAGGACATCAAATTGGAAATGTCCAATAAGAAATGTTCCCTCCTTTTTCAGCCCTGTTTTTCTAATGAGGAAGTGCAAAATGAAATTTTAGGTAGTTCTGTAACTATCCAAGGGTCACCTAGTAAAAAATAAGATCAAAGCTAAAAGCCCTAGAGTTCAGATAGTAGATAAGTTTCCAGCATTCTAACCTTTTGTGGGTTTTCCCACATCAATACCACTAAAATTTCTCCCTGCCTTCAAGTTGAAGAGTAGTTTAACTCAACAAATAACTCCAGGCCAGAGTCATACTAGTTTTCAGAGTAGGGTGGTGGTGAGGAGGGGTTGGGTGCCCTCCATGTGGAACATGCCATCATCCCTGGCCCTTCACTATGCCTCCATCAGATCCAGCCTCTTCATTTTATAGATGAGGCCCAGAGAAGTTGCAAGACTTGCTTAAAGACACACAAGTAGTCCATGACAGAGCTGGCATTCAAACCCAAGCCCTTTGACTCCATATCTGATGCTCTTTCCATTGTACCAGTACTCCCTCCAGTTTTTTTAGGAACTTGTTTATCGGATCAGTGGATTAGAAATTCTTTCCCAGGAAATCCAGTTATCCTATATTTGAAATGCACTTGTTTCTCACTATTTGAATTCCTGGGATGTGTCAAATCAGTTCTGCTGGTGATGAAGCATTCAATCTGTTAAATCACACCTCAGGTGCTATATTACCTAAGTGAAACATTTCCTAATTGTAACACACACACACACACACACACACACCAGTTAGTGCGTATTCCTTTTGAAATTACTTTGTATTTACTTACTTGTTGTATCAAACCATTAGGATGTATAAGTTCCTTGAGGACAGGGACTATTTTATTTTTCTAGCCCCAGCACCTAGCACAGACCCTTACACAAAGTAAGCAATTCATAAACATTTGTTGGATTTAATTAAATTGAAAGTATACACAACAACTGAAGAGAAACCCAGGCTTCTCTCTATTGTTCTGAAACCCAAATAATAATAGTCTTTGTCCCTTCTGACGTCCAATCTGACTTTGATCATAGTAGAAAACAGACACATTCCCCCATAGTATTGCTAAGCATTAATTTCTATAACTTCAATCCTCAAGTATGAGTTCTCAAGCTTTTGCTAGTGTTAAGGATTAGATAGATCTAGATGTTGATTTAGAAACACTAAATTTGCAGTGATTGCCTTTCATTTAGATAGGTTTCCTGTTGAAAAGGTTCACCACACTGACTTGTAAATATTAAGTCCCAGGGCTTTTATTTTCCTTTTCTTTTTCGTATTTCTATTTGCCCATGATTGGATTTCTCTTAGGCCTTGTTCTTCTGGGCCCATACTCATCGACAACACTGAACTAATTTCTTCAGTCTGCACTTTGCTAGGTGAATTTTTCTGATAAAACCTAGAGTAATTCCTTGTAGAAATATTTTATCTGATCGCTGCTGCCCCAGGGAAATTTAGTTATGCCCATAAGGCCTTTTTGGACCAGATCAGTGACTGGAAAATCCTAGAGGGACTCTAATGAGGAAAGAATGAAATTAGATTGATCTGTATAGGAAGCCCAGCTTCACTTTAGAAATAATGGATCACTGCTGCATTGTGTCCCCTGTGTGTATTGCTCTGCAGAGAATGAAATGGTGGAAAAGCTTCAATAGATGACCAGGTTAAGAATTCACTTTCAAGCTGTTGGTTACTTCAGCACATATGTAAGTGCCCTGTTCAGATGCTCCATTTCAAGCAGCCAATCACAATCAATAATAATCTCTGATTATGAAACAGGAATGCTGGGGAATTTTGATTACATCAGGTACCAGGGGAGATGGCTTAGATGAGAGAGAATGGTTGAAATTTGGGGGTTGGGGGTAGGAGATGGTAACTAATTCAAGAATCAAAAAATGGCCAGATTGTACATACCTACATGTTGGGAACATTCCCAAAGCTTGATGAAGAACTTGATGTTCTCTCCTCCCCTTTCAGATTTCGAAGTCTTTCTTTGGATAATTCAACCCTTCAAGACCTAAATTAAATTTTTTTTTGTCTTTTATCAAGGTGACCCCAACCAGGGTATAAAAACAAATCGCCAGTGAAGACATCAAAAAAGCAACCTGCTTAAAACTCTTTAAATTAGCCACTCTAACCTCCAAGTACCAGCCTACCTAGTTCTCTTGGAGGTTTCTGACTCTACAGTTTTAAATTTGCCTAGGTTGAGAGAATAGGGAATAAGGGATCCTGGGAGCATTTTGTCTGGTTGCTGCTGCCTCAGGAATATTTGGCTTCACAGACCTTAATCCCTAAAGCCATCTTGCAGGATGAGGTCCTTGGGGAAACAGTAGTGGGGAGAAAAGGCAATTAGGTTGGTCTGTGTAAGAAACTAATTTGCCACATTGACAGTAATAAATCATCCCTCTGTTATACCCTCTGTGTGTGTGTTATTGATTCCTGAATTGCCTACAGAGGTAATAGGGAAATTAGTCCCTTAGAAGGAATTGTAGTCACAACTCTATAACTAGCTTCCCTCTTCCCCACTTTTCCCTCCCCAAAGGGAAAAGATAAAGAAAAAACTCTTGTAACAAATATGATTAGCAAGCAAAATAGACTCCCACATTGGCCATGTCTCAAAATACTGCATTGAATATCACTGTCTTCAAGGATGTTTTTCTTTAGAGTATTATTAATGTATAAATTGTTCTGTTCATTTCCCTCTGCATAGCTTCATATATCTTCCTAGAGTTCTCTGAAAACTGTCCCTTTTGTCACTTCTTACAGCCAATAATATTCCATTACTGTTATACTCAGGGACTAAAGTAGTGAGATCAGACTATAAAAAGAGCTTGGGGGCAGAGAAGATTGCCAATTGATGGTAAGTTTTGAACAGGCAATCAGGAATTTAGCTAGAATATAGAGGGAAATGGAAGTTACTGACACCCTAGCCAATAAGTTTTGGTAGCAGGAGAATAGAACCCCTGAATTCAAAATGGTCCAGGTTATACCCCATCCATACCCCCTCATTCTGGTTCTTGCCTACATCCTCTCACCAGACCTTTACAAGTAAATCCACCCAGTGTGTCAAAAGTCCTTCCTTCAGATATTGATAGCATCACATTGGATAAACACCAGGAGAATAGACAGATTATCCAGTGGCTAAGATCTCTATCTCTTGCTTTTTCTCACACACGCGTGCCACGTGACTACCCTATATCCACACATTTCTCTGATAATACCTTTTATACCACTTTTCGTGTGCAGTTCGTTAATACTGTGCTGCAAGTTCCTCATACCCCCCATGGTTCTCTCTCCATTGTCCCTGGGGTTACCTGCAACTTTTATTCTGCAGGGACAACAGTATTCCATATTTTGCAGCTGCATCACATAACCAGAAAGAAAGAGTAGTATTAAAAAGTTAGGCCTTTGTTTCAGAGAGAAGTTTATGATCTTTAAAAGCATTATGCTGTATTCCAAATTCAGTCCAGCATGCTGTCATCCTAGTCAATTCTGGACCCAGGTCATTGTCCATCTGCTTTCAGTGTCTTTCCAAGATACATGCACTTACAGACCAGGTTTATGGACCATCCATTCAACTGCATATCTTTGTCCCAAATCATTGTGATTAGTGATGAGGCAGATAGGAGTGTTTGAGACAGATGGAGCAAACAGGATGCAGGATGTGATCAGCCAGAAAGTGCTCAAGAAGACTGCATTGAAGCCCCCCCACCGTGGGCTTATCTGTATGCATTCATAAAGTACCTCAGATTACCTGACATTCCAGAACAGCCCATTTCCTGTTCACTTTGCTTACTTGTATGGACTACATGACATTCTGGAGCAGCGATCCCCTCCTTGTTCCTCCTTCCCATTTTCTTAAACTGTAGTAACTCCCCTCGCCCCATCTTGTCAAACTGTATATAGACCAGACACATAACCTGGGTCAATGCTGTGTCTCCTGTAGGGAGCAGGGCCTGCTGGGTCCTCTGACTTTCCATAAGGAACAGAGTCCACTGGGTGTGTCACCCCAATAAATGCCTTTACTTAACTTGGAGGTGGTCTGAGAAAATTCCTTCAAGACAACACTGAGACACATGTCTCTACTTTGAAGGTAGGCCCATATTGCCCACACTTTAGAATCATTTGTGAGTTAGTGGAAGGGAAAAGATGAAAGTGAAAAAAAATTCATGTGAGATAATGGATGAGTTAAGGTCAGCAAAAATTGCACTGTTTCTCACTCCCATCCATGCTGTGCTGGGGAGAACAAGTTAAAATAAAGGCCTATTTCCATTTAGATGGGGGAGGGCAAATGGAAAGGGAGAAAAATGCATATCCAGGTATCAAAAGCTGCCTTCAAATTCTAATTCCAGGACCTGGAACACACTCTTAATACCTCAGGTCTCTCAGATTCCAAAGATTCAGAATCCATTATTACTATACTCTCTCACTTGCCCTCAACCACCACCCAGGTTTCATCTACCCCTGTAGTATGGTAATTATGCTGTCTTCCTTCTAGGCAAATCATTCACAACCTAAGTTTTCTGCTGCCTTAGGTAGTAGGGAGATAAAGGAGAAAGGCCTTGGAGGGGATTAGGTCTAAGAAGGAAAAGAAAACTAACTCTAGAAATTGAGTTCTAAGTGGATCTATCACCTTTAGTATGTATATTATGTGAATTAAATTATACATGGTATCTGGGTGAAACTATCAATGCTGATTATAGATACTGAAGAACTAACAGTGAGAAAAGAAAAACTAAAATATGGTTTAGATTTATAACACACTAATTATCATTTATGTGAACAGTTTGCCAGTTATCCTAATTACTGTATAACACAATAGTTGTACATATATACATACTATTATTTTTATATATAAATTTAATTATGTTATTAAAACTAAATTATTGTGGGGCAGCTAGGTGGTGCAGTGGATAGAGCATTGGCCCTGAACTCGGGAGGACCTGAGTTCAAATCTGGCCTCAGACACAAAACACTTACTAGCTGTGTGACCCTGGGCAAGTCATTTAACCCCAAACTAAATCATTCGTCTCTGCTGAGTCTTTATGGCTTATTACACATACAGCTCAGAAGCTGAAAAATTAGAAGAAACGTTGATTTACAACCACCTTCAGGAGATAACATAGCAACCTTTCCCCACCTCAAAATATAACTTAAGTGATTTTGGAAACATAGTCCCCTAGGATCCTGCTACTATTAGTATGGTTCCTTGAACATTAGGGCTCTAAGAACCTAGATGGCTTCAGGTGTCCAGCCCAAAGTGCTTAGCTATACTATTTATCTCATAGGGGTGTTCTTTGGCCATTTGTGATTTTAAGTGGCAGTGCATGCCACAAGGCACAAATCTTCCCCTCAGCACAAAGGGACCTATGGGCTGCAGCAATCCAATTTTGTTCTGAGAAAGAGGTCTAACAAATAGATCCATTAATAACAAGATCCCAATAGAGCCAACAAAGAACAATCAGGCATTTTTGAGTCAGCAGCAGAAATCATTCATTCAATTAATTTTAATTAACATTTATTTATTAAACACCTACAATGTGTTGTGCCCTTCCTGGGAAGCAAAAAATAAACAAGATGCCTTCCGTGACGTCATGGAACTTGAAGATCTAATTCAGTGGGTAAGGTTTTATTTTTGGTTCAGACATGATTTCATTGGTTGTAGAGAACTCCCAGTAAGAAAACTCCCTCTACTTATGCACATCAACAATTGTTCTGAAATTTATTTTCTTAAGACACCTGCCTGGAACACTGAGGGTTGTAACTTGTCCAGTACATATTGTCAGTAAAGTCAGAGACGGAACTTGAACTCAGATCTTCCAAACCCTAAGGCTTGCTCTCCACTATACTAGGCCTTTTTTTGGATTATATATATGTATATGTCTATATCTATAACTATATCATCCATATCTATACATATACATATAAACACACACAGGTGAAAATGTAACTTCTTCATTGTACAATGCTGATTATGGTAAGTGCCAAGATGATGATACATACAGGCAAGAGGTGTTGTAGGAGTTCAAAGAAGGGAGATATCATTTTGGTCTCAGAGAATCAGGAAAGAAGAGCTTCATGGAGTTAAGATGAGCTGGGTCTTGAAGAAAAAGAGTGAGAAAATTGTGTATACCATTTGACCCAGTAATACCGCTCCTAGACCTGTACATCAAAGAGATCAAAAAAACAGGAAAAAGACCCAGAAGTACAAAATATTTATAGCAGTTCTTTTGGTAGTGGCAAAGAACTGAAAACCAAGGAGGTAACTATTAACTTGGCAATGGCCAAACAAATTATGGTATTTAAATGTAATGGAATATTACACCACAAGAAATGATGAAACAGATGGTTTCATACAAACCTGGGAAAACTTGTGTGAACTGCTTTATAGTGAAGTGAGCAGATTCAGGAGAACAATTTGTACCACAATAATACTTTAAAAGCAAACAACTTTGAAAGACTTAAAATCTCTGATTAAGGCAATGACCAACCACCATTCAGAGGACTGATGATGAAGCATGCTACCCACCTCCTGACAGAGAGGTGATCTAAGATGAAGAATGAGACATACATTTTTGGACATGGCTAATCTGGAATTTGGTTTTTACTACATATTTGTTATAAGAGTTTTTTTTTTCTTTTTCAACTGAGAGGAGGTAGAAGAGAGGGAGACTAAAGTTAGGATCTCGTCAGCCCCTCAAAAAGAATAAGAAGAAAAGAGAAGGAATCTGACAAGCAGAACTGCTTTGAAAATTACATGTTGACCTTATTATATATTTTAAAAGAAAAACAAGGTATTTGTAATAGCAATTTCGTGTACAATCCACTTCTGTTCATCACTGTATGTGAGAATGCTCATTTTATTTGGTGTTTGTTAAGTTCAAATTAAAAATAAAATAAAAAAATAGGAGAGAGAACATTCCAGAGAAAGGTAACATTTTCAGAAACGAGGTACAGAGAATACTGATTCATATTCCCATGGTCCTTAATACTGAGACTTTTTTTTAGAACCAACTGAAAGCCCTGAAGCCAGAATTGAGAGAAAAAGCCCTTATTTAGACAAATCTAAAACAAGTCAACCTCCAAAAAGCACTGATGCTTACTACATTTTGTTCAAAGTTGATTTTCACTGTTGATCTTAAACTGAAGTAGCCATAAACAGGATACCCTATTCCTAACACTTCGTTCCTATAAACAAACCAGAGTCAAATCACCCTTTCTAGTCTATGGAAGACTTGGTTTTCCTGTCATTTGGCCTAGCCGCAATAAATCAATGCATCTCATGATAATGGTGGGATTTATTGGCTACAGCAAACATTTAAGTATTTCTTGAATGCAGAACATAGTGCTAGATGTTAAGGAAAACAAAGTTTAAGTAAGCCATGTTCCTTGCCTTCATAACCCCAGTCCCAAAG